CATTTTTCTCTAGGCAATTCCGAGTTGAAGACATTTGCTCCAGATATGTTTTCCCAAATCAAGTCGCCTGTCTAGATGAATACCCCAGGAACTGCACTTGGACGTTAACCACAGGTCATGTTTGTTTTTTAAGAGTAAAAGTAACGTGTTTGGATTTTATACTGTGTACTTTTATTCTCCATGCGTCTATCAATTTTTTATTTTGTTGAGGTGATTTTAAAGTAGATGTTGAGGTGATTTTAAAGTAGATGTTGAGGTGATTTTAAAGTAGATGTGAAGCTGATGTTGGAACATGATGTGAAGCCACTACTACAATCGTTATTGCTGTATTACTGGGTATTACTGGAAAAGTATTTTGCAAGGTTGCTCCTAAAACTCTTTCTTAAGGCATTCCAGCTCTGATAGGAAACAAAGAGGCATTTGCCTCTCCATTTTCCACATAAAAAATGTCTGTGTTTAAGATAGGATTCTAAAAGTCTGCAGAAGGGATGAGATAAGTTTGACTTTGCTGATTAGACCTTTATGCCTTTAGATCGTTAAAACTGTGGGCCATGTAGCCTTCCCCACCTCGACCTTTTCAGATCTATTGTGGATATCCTTTAATCATTGTTAAGAGTATTTTGTCTAGTTTGGTCTTTTGAAGTAGATTAGGAAGTAATTCTCCCACGTATCTAGTTGCTCTTGATTTTTCTTCAAGTGTAAGGAATCTGTCTTGATATACCTTTGTAGTAGCACAATATGTGTACTGTAGTTTCTTTCTCTTCTTGACAGAATCGGCACAAGGTGTCTTCTGCCAGACCGATGTTATAGTATATTATTTATGTTTGTTAAGCCTACAATGCCCCCTTAATAAAGATGCTCGGAGAGTTTTGGCGATGGTCCTTTTAAGAACTCTTTGGCCTGTCCTCCTGGTAAATTTTTCCACCATTCCTGAGATTTTTTTAACATCCACTGTTCTGGGCTAATAAGAGCCTCTGAGGCTCCTTCTCGGGCTAGTAAATCAGCCTCTTCATGGCACTTATGTCCGCTGTGGCCTGATACCCAGGTTAAGGTTAGTCTGTTTTGATTACCCTTCATGTCATACTTAATCAAACGCCTAGGAGAACAACAGCACTTTCTAGGCCATCTCTAATTATTTTGGCAACCCGATGAACTTGTTCGATGGTACTATGTTGAAAACAAAATTGATTAGAATAGCATTCTTCGATGATTGGTTTAAAACGTCCTAGTAAAAGATTCTTATATCTTTGCAAGTATGGGCAGGAGACTAATATGACGACAGCTGGAGAAGCTAGATGCGAGCTTAGGGTGCATCAAGACACTCGCAAGGTTAAGCCGTGATCTCTCCCGGTCTCGTCGTGGATGTGTGACCACTGGGAGGTTTCACCATGGACCGTGTCACTATGGGACTTAACCGACTAGCGGTTAACCATCGACGATATGGAATTCTTCTTCTTCTTCTCCTTTAGTTTTGTATGGGCTCAATACTTGCGGATTATTTACCCAAACGATATGGAATTAATGACGATGAATGAGTGAATTGGTGAATTGGAAAGTAGTAGGACCTTCAAATGGTAGTACAATAAGCCGTAGCCTGCAGTGCCGCCAGGCTATAGACTGATTAGGGTGGAGCACGGGAGGGTGAATAACTTAAAAAAATAGGACGATTGGAAGTGACTTTTGATGGATCGTTTCGGGGTTTTTCAAATTTGTATAGTCTGTGCAACCTTATATTTAAATGGGAAGTAACCAAGTCTTGTACAGCGTTCAGAATTATGGAAATCATCTGGAACGCCTCATGTAGAGTTTTTCCAGTAATTAAATCATATCCTGGTGTTTTCTGCCATTAATTTCATGGTATATTACATTTTTTATTTCTGCTATACTGAACTTGTTTTATCGGAAGGTACATTTGGTAAGGCGAGTCTAAAATATATGTATATGTTCTTCGTCCTGGATTGAGATTAATCTTTGATGTGATTTGAATACCGTGCTCGGATGTTCTATAAATAGTTGTGCCTTGTGTTCCTCACTCTTAGTCCAAGTTTTACCGTCGTTAGTTCTTATCGGTTGATTAAATGTTTAGGGTTTTTATTTTTTTTTCTGTTATCTTCCATAGAGTACTCAGTTTCTTTCGTGGTAGATCGGTTAGTTAAATAGGTTAGGTTGAAAATGAGTGGGATGATCTCAGCGCTTTCCACTGCGACAATCTACAATGTGAGTACAATCGGTGCAGCAAGTTTCTATTTCTTCTCTTCTCGGAACTTTATTTTTCGTGAGTTTTTGAAATTGTGGTAATTTCAGAATTTTATTATCAAAATAAATATATACCATTTTAGTATGTATACTTTTACTTGTTTGTAAACTTGTTTTATGTTTCATTTCTTTTAAAGTATCAGTCAGTGAGTTACATCATAATATGCTTTCATGAAATATTGACCCCATGCAACATCAGGCCGTCATTATGACGTGATTTGTTGGTGTGCGAAAATAACGTTATGGTAACGTGAGAATGTCACAGCGAAATGACGTCATTCCATATCGTCATTTTGACTAATCGATATCACGTTAAAGTAACGTGTGTCCTAGGCTAGGCAAATTGACATCATTATCACGAATCTACCTAACGTCAAAGTAACGTCTATATTGGGTGTCCCAAGGTTGGATGGAATTATTAAAAATACCAAGCAGATGAAAGTTATTTATTTAATCCAAAAAACATGAAAAATATATTATAAAAAATAAATTTCACTGGTAAATAAAAAGTCATGAGTCATGAGCAAGAAACCAAAAGGAATAAAATGACAAAAGAATATTAGAGGAACTGACACAACATACCTAAAATTATAGATTTAATTTTAATTGGGGGTGGGCGAGATGCTTTACGATTTCATTATCTTTAGTATCATCGAATGACAGCTTTCTAGTTGGCACCTGTTTTCTTTTAGTAGGTACTTTATCAGCCTCGGAATGTAGATCTGAGGTAATTTGACTTTTTTTAATTTGGTACATCACTTATCATTACCATCTAAAATAAAAGAACTATTAAAATACAGACCACTGAAAATTCTTAAAGATAGAAAGTAAATTGTGTATGTAGTTGTAAAATCTGAGGGGATTACTTCACCGAAGATTGAGGTAGTAGCCCCAAAACTACCTTCTCAGAAGTAAACATATAGTGTGAGTTTATAATAAAAGTTAATAAAAAAAAGATCATAAAGGGTGATCAAATTTCAGTTTCCTATATTGGTAGTACTGTAAATCAGACAGTTGGTAATAAGCATTTGTTTTTGAAGCGTCAAAAGTGAGTATGTAGAAACACATTTACGAAATGGATCGCTTAACGACCGTTCAACGTATGCAAATTGTGCTATTTCTTTATCAAAACAATTCCGTACGAACCGTATACAGACTTTTACGCGCAGACTATGGTCAATTTAATCGTCCTACTGAGCAAACTATTCGAAATGTTAAGAAATTTGAAGATACTGGAAGTGTTGCCGAGGTCTGTGCACGTTTAGCTGAAAATATTCCTGCAATTAGTGAAAGCGTGGTTGCCAATGTTTTTTTGGAAACATTTCTTTTGATGAGGTTTTTCGTGAAATTTGTTTTACTTTTTTTTCCTTTAATAAAAACAGAATTCGGAGAATGTTTAAACAAGTTAGGACTAACAGTATTAGGAGGATGTTTTTTGAAAATGACCCATAGAAAACACGAAATTAACTACAAAATTCGCTAATTATGAGAAATTTTGGATTGTTTTTTTTTGCAAATAAAATAGTATAAAAACCTCTGTAGAAAATTTCATTTCCATTTAGAAATAGAGTTAACTTCGACGCTTCGCGCCTCTGAAACTTTTCCTTGACAGTAATGAAACATTTTTCTCCTCGATAGGTATTAAATATTCGCTCCGTGCGCGACAGCAGCGCCAATTCGTTTTGATACTAATGGACTATTTCGGCGTATACTGACAAATGCAACTTTTAATAGAATTCGTAATTAAAAAGTATACATGTTAGTTTTAATAAAAGTATATGGATTTGTAAAACAAGTAAAACATTAATTTATTATTATTATATATTTTTATCGCTTAAATTAAAGAAAATTATGTATAATTGATAAAAATCGATAATAAAATATAGGCAGGCAACAGTATTTACTGGAAAATGTATGAGAAGTTGCCCAAGTCTAATAAGTTTTCATTGAAGAATTAGTCTATTCTGTCAAAATACAAAAATACCATTTAATAATAGCGTGAAGTTAAAATGTATAAAAAAAGGATCATTACTTATATTTTCATTTTTGTTCGAAAGAAAACATAGAATGAATGATTAAAACTGATTTCCCATCAGTAAGTTACAAAATTGCGTTCCAACCACATATAATAATCAAAGGCAGAAATCTTGAAATCTAGTCCTTGCTGAATGAACATTTAAGAATAAGGGATATTAAAGAACATGGTAAAATTATAATTTATTGTTGATTTAAAACCTTTCAAGTTTCTGATGTCTACTATTTGCAGCATTACGGTTATTATTACAAAAATAAAGGTAATTTTCCTTCCCTTTGTATATCTATCCATTTATTTCTTTGATTTAATTTCCACTTTGCCACTGAAATTTTTTATATAAGTTTCACTGTTTTTTTGCTAGTATTTGTACAATTTTCAACACAGCAACTCCGGTTGCTTATTGTATTGTATTTACCTACTTTTTTTGCAAAAAAGTAAAATGTATACGTGTATTTGATATGCAAAAATTACAAAATATCGCCCTAAAATGCACGAATTATCCGCAGCTAGCGCTAGTATCGCTTTTGCTTCCCTTTCCATGGCTTCGCACGGAGCGAATACTGTATAAATATACTGTCACATAAGTGAAGTGGAATTTTAAATGCCTCAATAAAACTAACTGGATATGATTTATTTTCTTAAATTAAGATAACAAAAAATATTTATATAATGGACATTTCATTTACATTAATGATTTAATTAATTTTAGGTGATGGAAATATACATCTTCAAGTAATAGTAAATGAATTTACACAAGATGCCTTGAATAAAATCGAACCATTTATTTATGAGTATACTTCAAAATTAAAGGGCAGTGTGAGCGCTGAGCATGGTGTCGGGTTCAGAAAACCAAAATACATCCATTATTCGAAAAGCCCAGAAGCCATAGCATTAATGAAGGAGTTAAAAACCATGATGGATCCCAATGGTATCCTAAATCCATATAAAGTGTTGCCTTCCTAAAAAATATGTAAACATTCGACAGCTAAAAAATGAACATTATTAATTCAAAAATAAATCTTCCATAATCCAAAAACAATTTACTTTCTTTAACTTACCTAAATAAACTAATCCCGTAATTAAACATCCCCTTTTTAAACCAATCATGTGTAAAAAATAGAAAACCCTGAAAAAGTAATAACCAGTTCAAATACCTAGGACTACTCTTATTAGTCCGGGAGGTAACGACATAATTATTTCAATGAAACATTTTCGCAGGCCTATGACACTCCCTGGGCGGGAAAAAGACGCGCAGCTTTTACTGCGCTGACGTTTTCGGGATATAACTGTTATGTGAGCCATTTCATTATTCAGTCATGCTCTAACCCTACAAGTCCCTCTCTGTCTTATTTGGCCTTTGAGGCTCAACTTGTCCGATTATTATACATAATTAAACCCCTTAAGACCAAACCTATGGGACGACTATGGTGAAGACACTTTCGTGAACATTCCAGGATCAACGAGATACTATTTCTAGAACGTGATAACGTTTCTGGTACATACTGGCAATTTTGGTGGGGGATCATTCTAGACCACCAAAATCAGTATTATATGAACAGTGAAGATAAATAGTAATTAGTAGCTGGACAGTGGTGAATATAAATAGTGATCAGTTTAAAGACATTCGAAGTATATATAAATTAAAATAGTATTGTTTAAAATAAATAAGTGTTTAAATAAATTATTAATAAATAAACTGTTCTTTGAAAATAAACAAACATCAGATTGGTGTCGAGAAGTGGAATAGTGTAAATAAATAGACAATCATGACTAAAAAACTGTGTGATTTAAAAGTGGCTGAATTACGTCGAGAATTAGAAGATTGTGATCTGGAGACGACAGGAAAGAAATCAGAGCTGGCAGAATGGCTTAAAGAAGCACTGGAAGGATCCGGAAACGTTTCTATTTTCGGATGATGCGTCTTCTATCATTTCTTCAATTTCCGATATGAAAAACGATATGTCTGCTTTAAAAACCGATATTTCTTCTGACATTTCTTCATTGGAAACTAAAGTTTCTTCCGATGTTTCCTCTATAAAAAATGATATTACTTCCTTAGAAAGTAAAGTTTCGTCCGATATTTCTTCTTTAGAAGAAAAAGTATCTTCTGATGTTTCATCCGTGAAAAACGAAATCTCTTCTTTAGAAACTAAAGTTTCTTCTGATATCTCCTCTTTAAAAGATGAAATTTCTTCCGGCTTGGAAAACAAAATGTCTTCTCTGAAATGTGAAATTTCTGCTGATGTGGAAAATAAGATGACTTCTGTTGAGGAGAAAATAATGTCTTCCGTTGAAGAGAAAATAAAAGAAATGAAAAAGAAGATAGAAGAACTGGAACATTCAGACCCGGCCAAAGACGTTGAAATTAAGTGCCATGAGGTGGAGTCGAAGTTGAAATTGGAAGGAGCTGTAAACCCTTCTCGTGTTAAAGCCCCAACTTTCGACGGAAAGATGTCTTAGACGAACTACCTTAAGCAGTTCGAAACAGCTGCCAGAGCAAACGAGTGGTCTGAACGAGAGAAGGCAATAAATTTGACCATCGCCCTTCGAGGAGACGCTTTGGATGTCCTTCAGACTATACCCGTGGAAGAGACAGATGATTTTGAACAACTCAAAAAGAGACTAAATATGCGATATGGCCACGAACACTTGGAGCATTTGTACCAGTCACAGTTGAAGAATCGTAAACAAAAACGAGACGAGACTCTTCAGGAATATGAAGTAGATATTGCCAGGTTGGTGCGATTTGCTTATCCATTAGCTCCGGAAAACATGATGGAATGTTTGGCAGTTCAAACTTTTGTTGATGGACTTCGTGACCACGAGATGCAAAGAACACTTCGTCTAGCCCGTCACAAAACATTGGTCGATGTCTTGTCCGCTGCTTTAGAATATGAGGCAGCTACGCAGGCTTCTGGTGGATACAGTAAAGTAAGGACTGTAAGAGAAGAAGAAGAGGACGGTAAACTCGATCAACTGGTGAATATGATGAAGAGCCTTACTGACAGAAAGAATTGCGGGGAACTGGGACATGTACGCAGTTCGTGCAAACGCCCTAGGGTCCCAACAAATCAAGACAACACGCCGCAGGAAAACTAGAGCGGGTCGGCCTAGAGGGGGCAGCTTCGACCCGAAACCGTTCCAAAGACCCTCTCATACTGATAGCCTCTTTGAAATGTCGCGATGATAGTGTATACATAGACGGCGAAGTAAATGGCAAAAAGTATACACTGTTGGTGGATACTGGAGCAACTAGGACTATTATACGACCAACAACTATAAATAACCGTAAGAAACTTCTACCAACAAGATTGCGACTACGGACTGCCAGAGGTGAAAGTGCCAACATCCATGGGGAAATCCAGGTTCAGTTGGGAATTGGTACAGAAAAGTTCACTCATACTGTTATTGTCGCTGATATCGAAGAAGATGTTATTCTTGGAATAGATGTAATGAACTTACATGGTTTCCAGTTGGACTTTAAAAAGAGAGTGATCAAAGTTGGTGCCGAAGAGGTATTTCTACATCCATATGGGGAAAGTACCGTGCCAGTTGCTGTACAGGAGGATACGGTGGTACCTGGCAGAAGTGAAACCGTTATAGTAGCACGGCTTCAAGAAACGATGGAAGAAGGAACACCTGTGATGATGGAACCTTGGAACCACGATGAAGAGGTTGGACGAGGAATTCTGATCGGAAAGGGGTTGGTCACGACTGCTAAAGAAATTCCAGTCCGTCTCATAAACGTTAATGATCATCCGATTACCATCAAGAAAGAGACCAGAATCGGAACTTGTGTACCAGTAACTTCCATAATTCGTCAGACAACAACTGATAATTCCAACGACAAATTTGAGCAAATGATTGCAGTTGCTGGTCAATCTCTGAATCCATTAGAGAAAAAGAAAATCAAGGAATTTCTTCGACGATATCATGACATTTTTGTACCAAAAGGAGGAAAAACAGGGAGAACTTCTGTTGTAAAACACAAAATTGACACTGGTGACGCCAGGCCGATTCGTCAATCAGCTCGAAGATTACCAAAGGCCAAGAGAGAGGAAGCTGAAAGGATTGTTCAGGAAATGAAGAAAGACAGGGTGATAGAACCTTCTACCAGCCCATGGGTCTCTCCGGTAGTCCTGGTCCAGAAAAAGGATGGAACTACGAGGTTCTGTGTGGATTACCGTCAGTTGAACAATGTAACCAAGAAAGACAGTTATCCTCTTCCTCGAATCGACGATACCTTGGACACATTGGCCGGAAGTAAACTATTTTCTACCTTAGACCTAAAGTCTGGATATTGGCAGGTGGAAATGGACCCAGTAGACAAAGAAAAGACAGCTTTTACCACCGGATCTGGATTGTGGCAATTTAATGTCATGCCATTTGGACTATGTAATGCCCCCGCAACATTTGAAAGACTTATGGAAAATGTACTGAGAGGGTTATCTTGGAAAACATGCCTGGTGTATTTAGACGACATCATAGTCTTGGGGAGAACATTTGATGAACATCTAAAAAACTTGGAAGATGTTTTTAAAAGACTTCAAGCTGCCCAACTGATGCTAAACCCCAAGAAATGCCAGCTATTCCAAAATAAAGTAAATTACCTGGGTCATGTAGTCAGTAAGCATGGCGTGGCTGTAGATAAGGAAAAAGTCGCTTCTATCAAGGAGTGGCCACAACCAAAGGACAAATACCAAATAAGAAGTTTTCTTGGGCTTTGTACGTACTACCGAAGATTTATAAAGAAGTTTGCAGATATTGCTAAACCACTAACGCGACTCACAGAAGAAGCGAGGGAATTCTGCTGGGACGAGGACTGCCAAACCGCCTTTGAAACATTAAAGAACCATTTAACAACAGCACCAATACTAGGCTATCCACTACCAGAGGGAGAATTTATCCTGGATACTGATGCTAGTAATGTGGGAATTGGAGGAGTGCTTTCACAGATTCAGGAAGAGAAAGAAAGAGTATTAGATTAGAGAGTATTAGATTATTATTATTAGTAAAGTGCTTTGGAATCCTGAATGAAATTACTGCGTCACAAGAAGAGAACTCCTGGCAGTTGTAAAGTGCGTGGAACACTTCTACCAATATCTGTACGGAAGGAAATTTTTAATCCGGACCGACCATGCAGCCCTTAAGTGGTTAATGCAATTTAAGAACCCAGAGGGTCAAATCGCCAGATGGATTGAACGACTACAAGAATACGACTTTAAGATCGAACATCGAGCCGGAATAAGTCACAGAAATGCCGATTCTCTCTCTAGAAGACCATGTCCAGCAGAGTGCTCCCACTGCAACAAAGCGGAATCCAAAGAAAGTGGGATACTAAGAACAACTGTAGTCAACGATGAGTGGGCCCCTGCTAAAATTAGGGAAGAACAAGAGAATGATACCGTCTTAAAGAAGATGCGACAATGGAAAGACGAAAATCGTCGACCTACTTGGCAAGAAGTATCTAATCTCTCTCCAGTACTTAAGTCGTATTTGGCTCAGTGGAACTCCTTTATCCTGGAAGATGGCTTATTAAAGCGAGTAATTGAAAATGATGATGGTTCCGAGAACAGAAGACAGTTGGTCATTCCAAGAAGTAGAGTAGCTGAAGTACTCCGTCAGTTACACGACAGTCCATCAGGAGGACATCTCGGTGTTAGGAAAACCCTTCAGAGAGTTCGGGAAAGGTTTTACTGGATGAACAGTTCCGATGATGTAAAGGACTGGTGTCCATTTGAGAGGATCGCCTTAGATATTGCTGGACCATTCCCCGCGACCGAGGATGGTAATAAATACATTTTGGTGGTTATGGATTATTTTACAAAGTGGGTGGAAGTCTATGCCATTCCAAATCAAGAGGCCGCAACTGTTGCAGATGTATTGATAAAAGAGTTTATCTGTCGATTTGGAGTGCCCTTGGAGATCCACAGTGACCAAGGCAGAAATTTTGAAAGCCAACT